CAACTTATATATAAATCACATTCATCTTCTTCAATTTCCATAACCACACAGAAATCGAAGAAACTTTAAAAATTCTAGGTTTTCCCCCAGATTCTCGAGAAACTTTCTCTCCAAGTAATGGCTAACATGAACAACATTGTCGTCGTTTTCGATTTCGACAAGACAATCATCGATATAGATAGCGATAATTGGGTCGTCGATGAACTTGGTTTCACTGACTTGTTCAACAAGCTTCTTCCCTCAATGCCTTGGAACTCTCTCATGGTTTGTTCATCAAATCTCTCACTCTTCTTCTCTGTTTTGTGTTTTTAGGGTTTTCTTTTTGTTGTCTATTTCTCTATTCCTTTGTCCTAATGGAAACGAAACCCTAAATCCTTGTTTGGTTTTGCTACATAACAGGATCGGATGATGAAGGAGCTTCATGATCATGGTAAAACCATTGATGAAATCAAACAAGTCTTGAGAAGAGTACCGATTCATCCACGTGTCATCTCTGCCATCAAATCAGCTCATGCTCTAGGGTAAATCCAAATTCTAAACTCTTTTGATCTCTCTGTTTAGAGAGAAAAAACAGAGAGTATTGAATCAATATCCGACGTTGATTCTCAGGTGCGAGCTGAGAATAGTGAGCGATGCGAACACGTTATTCATCGAAACGATAGTTGAACATCTTGGGATTAGTGATTTTTTCTCTGAGATTAACACAAATCCAGGATTAGTAGATGAACAAGGAAGGTTAAGAATCTTTCCTTACCATGACTTCACCAAATCATCACATGGTTGCTCTCGTTGCCCTCCTAACATGTGCAAGGTACTTAATCTTTCTATTTCTTTTAAACAATTCGTTGGTTAATTCAAATTCAATGTTTCTGGATTTTGAGATTTGAGAAAGAAAGAAAAAGGTGTTTGTGCCATTTGTCTAATCTACTTCCGTGGATTCTTGGGAAAGTTATTTGTATAAAATATGTTATCATTGATTCTGTTATATATTCTATGATCAACATATGTCATGTGTTGAATCTATATGGACCCACTTGTGGTGTTTCTGGTGTTAAAATAATTTTACATTTTATTATTTATGTAGGGTTTGATAATTGAGAGGATTCAAGCTTCTCTAACCAAAGAAGGGAAGAAGATGAAGATGATTTATCTTGGAGATGGTGCTGGTGATTACTGTCCCAGTCTTAGACTAAGATCTGAAGATTATATGATGCCTAGGAAGGATTTCCCGGTTTGGGATTTGATTAGTAAAAATCCGATTTTGGTTAAGGCTACGGTTAGAGATTGGACCGATGGTGAAGCTATGGAGAGGATATTAATGGGAACAATCAATGAGATTATATTATCATCAGAGGAAGAAGAAGACAAGGAGAAGATGTTGAGCTCTGATAATTGCAAGATATCTGTTGGGATTGTTCATGAACCTTTATTGCCTCTGGCTCTTCAAGTTCCCACTAAATCTTGTTAAGTGATTGATAAATAGAACAAAAGGATATATATTATAGATTTTTGTTTTTGTTTTCGAATAGACTATTCTTGATGCAATCAAGAAAAATGTATAAGATGCTAAAACTTGAATGGTTCATGCATGCACGTAAGTGGATTGTTTTGGATTCTCATTGATGAAAGGACCTTTCATTATTTTTGTTTTTGCAAGTCACTTGGCTGATCGTGCTACCAAAGAACAATTAAAATGCAAAACACTTTGTTTAAGCTATATTGAACCAAACAGGTGTTGAATTTACCCGGTTTAAATTCAAGTGATCGTCGACGATCATATTCACGACGATCATATTAATCTCGGCTATAGTTTCAAGGTTACAAAGAAAACGGACACGTTTTGAAGTTTTATTAGTAGGACAACTATTCGATATAGGATACGATTTGTTTTGTTGTGGTTATATATATATTTACGTTGGTGTTTCCATATTATATAACATTTTAGTCACTATAAGTCAACATAAATACGCAAACGTAAACGCTAACAAACCAGCATTGTTATAATATTTTGGTTGTCATAACATAACATTGAGAATCAAACCTAAACGTAAAAAAACAATCGTAGTAATTTTTTTGCTC